TCATATATGAGAAACTTATTGGTATCGTATGTAATGGTATATAAATATTAACATATGTCATGTGTTTTGAAACTCTATAGAATATAATTTTGTTGAACGTGGCAAAGGTTTACGTTAATTTTACCTTATTAGTATTACTTATCCGCTTTATCCTAGGTTGGACGTTTTCAAGATGGCGTTAATGTATCCACAAAATTTATGGATCAAAGTTTCCTAACACTAATTCATCTGGTATGAATTTTGGTAATTTCGCTTCACTCACTCATTTTGAAAAATATTTCACGCAAAAAATTTCGAGTGCCATATATATATATTTTGAACCTTATGCCATATATTGTTGAATACAATGAATGAATAGGAATGTCGATAGGGCTATTCCGACCCGCCCGAACAATTTGTAAACCGAATATGTTTTCTAGTCACGCAGTCCAACCTTTTTGTGCCTATGCGTTAAATTAAAGTTAGGTTTTACCCGGACAAAGCTACGTACATAGTAAATTGAAGCTTTTTAGATATAAAATACATACTAGTAGTTTCTGGTAAATCATTTCTTATAAAAAAATTGGAGTCTCCAAATTCCCAATGAAGATTGCCCGATTGCATTTTTATTAAGGTTACTAGAACAAATATTGCACATAGCACATATAACATATAACATATCTTCAGTCCTTCATTATGTGGTGTTCATGTAGTTATCACTTAAGCATTCTTGTGCAAAGTCCAACTTAAAAAGAATTATATCAATATTGCTTGTTGAGACGATTGTATTTTTACTGCTTTCTGCTAATGAAAATGCGACTGTTTAAGAAGGGTCGCATATCTATTCCAAGCTTCTATGTATTTTTGGCTAACTCGATCGTCACTTTAGAAAGAACAAGAAGCAACCTATAGTGTCCCACTATCCTCTTTCAAATCTGAAGATGGACTATTGCCAATGCGGTTTGCTAAGTTTAGTGGATTTGAAATATCTTTAGGATCTAGCTCATATGAGCTTTTACTAAAGAATATATTAAAGTAAGAATTTGGGGTCGAAACAAGAGCACTCTTAAAGATTTCAATTAGTCAAAGGAAAAAAGAAAAGCAAGGAGTGATTGCCAATTGCAAATTTGTCAAAGAAAACCGAAAATCGGTCTGGACTCTTCAAAGAATGTACTTGAGAAAATGCTCACTTCTCTACATGCCAGAAGACAAGAATAGTTACACCAGAAGAAGAAAAACGTTACAAGAGTTGCTTTCATACATCATCGTGTCTTCTCTTGGACTGAAGAGCTAAACGCGCATCTCTCTCTTTCTCAAACTGTCTGTAATCAGCTCTCTCCAAGAACGAAACTTTGTCCAGATACTTGTCCGAGCTCTTCTTGTACTTATCCAGCTCGTCTTCAACACCTATGTTTTCCTCCTTGTACTCTCCCCAGTCTTTCTTCGTCTTGTCCAAAACGCTCAGCTTCTGTTTCTTTTTTATCTGCTCAAGTACTGCATCAACCGCTGAAGGGGTTGCGGCCGATGTGGAGGAGGAAGAGGACCCTTTGTTTCCCCTCTCCAATGCTTCCTTTGACTCTGCTTCCACAAACCGCTTTATTTCGATTTCTTCACCCGCAAAGTCTTTGACCTCAGTTATCTGGTAATGAATGACCAAGAAGAACATATGCATCAACCAAATGAATGCTCGAAAAATGCAATTTACAGATCACAAATGTTCAGTCAAAATTAGAATTTAACTTTTAAGACACAGATTCTACTCCCATACAAAGCTTGCTTTTTAGATTCAAACAGATCAAATTAAAAACATCTTAGATTTTAACAAGACTAAGCCCAAACAGCAATTCAAACAAAAAGCAAGCTTTATCTACGGTCGTAAAGGTTCAATAGAATGACATAAGAACTTGAGACAGAGATTCTAGTCCTCCCACAATCCATCGTCCTAGCTCCAAACAGCTAATAAGATCTTAGATTCTAACAATGCCGAGCCAAACACACAAATTCAAACTACTTTCTGACCTCAATCTTGCCACGGCTCGATGCAGCTGCAGCGGTTGCGGTAGCGTTTCTGACAGCAGCTAAAGCGGCTGCAGCAATTTTCTTAGCCTCTTCTCTACAACTATCATCAGGAATGCTATCTTCTTTTTGTACATTCGAAATGCAGTGATCCTTCTTATTTGCATCCACGCCAAGATACTTTTTCCAATTCTGCGCATCAAAACACCACATTCAATTTCCCAGACGACAAGAT